CCAGGCAGCTCCCACACACTGGCTAGTCTCAGAATACCCCGAGCACATCACCCCGCAGGGCCTTCTTGTTGGATCTCCTGTGCCTGGAGCTTCCTTTCTCCCAGATATAGACTCCCCACCATTTCTGCAGTACCTAACTGCTTTATTTCTTCAAATGCCCTTCCCTAAGTCTCCCCAGGTCACCACACCCAGCTCTCTTATTCTGCTCTGTTTTTTCCCACAGCATTTCTTTATTTAAATGTTTTTTTCCTTTTTTTTCAGTTCCCAATGTGACAGTATCCATAGCATTTCTTATCCTTCAAAATATCTATCAATTTGCTTATTTGCCTATTGTCTGTCTCTCTCCCTGTTAGACTATAAGCTTCATGAAGACAGGGACTGATTGATTCCTGCTATACCCTTAGGGTCTAGAATGTTGCCTAGGTCATAGCAACTACTAAAAAAAATTTGTTGCATAATTAAATGAATGAATAAATGGAAATGGATGCATACGGCATTCTCGATTGTCTGAGAGTTTATAAGGAAGTCATTACCAGTCACTCACAGAAATGTTGTAAAGGCAGCAACCTTAATGGAAATCAGTCAGAAGCCTTGAAGGAAATGACTGATTTTACTGATGTTCTTCATTTGAATGAAAAAGAAAAGCTTACGCTAAGATTTACTAAGATCTGACTGAAGGCTTTCTTAAGCTTAGTTGGAGATGTCGGTGGTACAATTTAAGGGGCACATTATGGAACCGACTGCCTAAACCAACTATTTCTCTGGTTTAGCATAATGTCTAAACTCAGTATTTATTATTTTATCTATTTTACAAGTATCCCAGGTCCTATTCTGAGGAACTGGGATATAGCAATGAATGAGTCAACACCCTGTCCTCATGGAGCTCACATTTCAGTTGGGAACAGACAACAAAGGAAGAAACACGTGTAGTAAGCAGCAGGTGGTGATAAGCCAGGAGAAAAATGACAACAGGTGAGGGAGGTGGAGGTAGAGATGAGGGGCTGTGTGGCTTTTCAGACCACAGTGAGGGAAGCCAGTGTTAAGGAGGCCCGGATGAGGCATGGGAGGAAGCTATGCAGACATGTTCCAGGAGCATGGAGGGGAGTGAAGGTGACCTCTGACTGTCTAGGAGATGTAGCCTAGGCATCCACCATACTCTTGGAGTTTGTGTATTTTTGTTTGTTTTTGAAACAAGACCCCACTCTGTCACCCAGGCTGGAGTGCAGTGGTGTAAACACGGCTCACTGCAACCTCAACTTCCAGGCTCAAGAGATCCTCCTACCTCAGCCCCCCAAGTAGGTGGGACTACAGGCACGCGCCATCATGCCCAGCTAATTTTTGTATTTTTTGTACAGACAGGGGTTCTGCCATGTTGCTGGTCTTGAACTCCTGAGCTTAAGCGATCCACCTGCCTCAGCCAGCCCAATTTTGTGTTTTTAGCCTGAATTCTGTGTACGGCGTTTTACTCTACATTATGGAGCACATTTCACTTGCAAAGTAATGTGCTATAGTCGTATACAGGCTATGTGAACTTGAGGTCCTTTCTACATATATCTCAAAATCAGGAAGATGCATGCTGCCATGCCGATCATTGGTCAGGTGCCAATCACCAATGGTAAGGAGCCAGGAATTGCACCATAGTCAATAGTCAGAGGCTACACAGCTTTTTGTTATTTGTTAAAATAAAAATGAAAATGAAAGCAAGGTGAGTGAGCATGTAGCTAGAATTTTTCTTTCTTTCTACCTCCAGTTTTTCAAGACTTTAGGTTGTAACATTCCAGTTTATTGGAAACAACCTTAGATTCAATTACATTTACTCAAAGCCAAATTTAAGTCAGTTTTCAGGATGTTTGATTTTTCTCCTGCCAACATTTGGCTGATTATGTTGAACTTTATGTTTTCTGCATAGCTGTTTTGTGCCAAAAAAAATGGTGTAGGTATAACTATCAAAGTTTTGTAATTTTTTCATCCACAAGCCCTATGACCACACTGTTTCACTTACACAGCCTGTGAAATGAGGACAATATCTGACGTGTATAATACTTTATGCTCATAGAGGGAAAATGACACATTGCATTTAAAGCCTTATGAATCTTCTCACCTGAGGATAATTTTTACGTCTCCATATGCTTTGGTAGGTAGCCTAAGATTAAGGGAAAATAGTAAATGTTGAATTATTTTGTGGGCAATTTCTAGGAAGTGCTTTTTTTTTTTTGAGACAGAGTCTCACTCTGTCACCCAGGCTGGAGTGCAGTGGTAAAATCTTGGCTCACTGCAATCTCTGCCTCCTGGGTTCAAGTGATTCTCCTGCCTCAGCCTCCTGAGTAGCTGGGACTATAGGCACGCCTGGCTAATTTTTGTATTTTTAGTAGAGATGGGGTTTCACCTCATTGGGCAGGCTGTTCTCGAACTCCTCACCTCAAGAGATCCACCTGCTTTGGCTTAGGAGGTGCGTTCTTCTCTTGATCTTTCTCCTTGTAGACCATTTCACTGGGGCTACCTGGTACCATAAGGTGACATACAGATGAAGACAGTGGCCTGACTGAAGATTTCTCGGGATCAGATGAGTAGGAATCTGCCTGCTTTTCCTGGACTGCTTTCTTCAGGTCATTTTTCATGTGAGAGAAAAGTAGATTTCTTTTATTTTATTTTCCTTTGAGACAGAATTTCTTTTATTTTCTTTTCCTTTGAGGGTGACTCCTCTGTCACCCAGACTGGAGTGCAGTGGCATGATCTCAGCTCACTGCCACCCCCACCTCCTGGGGTTCAAGTTATTCTCCTGCCTCAGCCTCCTGAGTAGCTGGGATTACAGATGTGCATCAACACATGCAGCAATTTTTTTTGTATTTTTAGAAGAGACGGGGTTTCACCACGTTGGCCAGGCTAATCTCGAACTCCTGGCCTCAAGTGATCTGCCCTCCTTGGCCTCCCAATGTGCTGGGATTATAGGATTGAGCCACCACATCCAGCTTGAGAGAGAAGTAGATCTTTTTTTTCTGTGTAAGCTGAAGTCATTTTGGATTTTCTATTATAGGTAGCCAAACCTAACCTTCGCTAATACATACTTGTGATTTGAAAGCGTTTGTGTGCTTTTAAAAGAAACTATATATGTTTTCTTATTTTACTTCTTCAATAATTCTACAAAGTTCAAAGAATGAGAATTATCATTCTCATTTTCCAGTCAAAGAAACTGACCTTGTAAGAAGTCAAGTGACTTGCATATGGTCAACTTAGCAAGTAGAGAAGCTGGAACTAATAGAAGTGTATTATCTCTTTACAACAAATCACACATATGCTTACATGTAGACACACAGACATGGTGCACAGACTTTGGAGTAAGACAGACCTAACTTCACATTTCGTGTCTCATTCTTGTAGCTTTAAGCAAATTACCTACTTTTGCTGATTTTCATTTTCTTATCTGCAAGGTGGTAAACAACATCTCTAGTGTTTGAGAATTCCAAATGAGATAATGTTGGTCGTTCTGATCCAGGAGGTGGTATATAGTAGCTACTTGGTAAATAGAGCTCTATTGTCAGCAGAGGCTTATTCTTCTAAAGATTATTTATACTGTGACACAAAGAGGGTTAAAAAAAGGAAGAAAAAAAGAAAAAACGTTATTCAAATATGGAAATAAAATGGAATGTAAATGAGAGCCTAGAATCAGCTTAAATGAAGTTCTGCTTCCACAAGGAATTTGAAATATTTTGATATCTTTCTGATTTAAAGGACTAGATGAGTCTGGGCGTGGTAGTTTACGCCTTTAATACTAACACTTTATGAGGCCAGGAGAGGCAGGTGGATTGCTTGAGTTCAGGAGTGTGAGACCAGCCTGGGCAACATGGCAAAACCCCACCTCTACCCAAAAACAAAACCAAAAATTAGCCAGGTGTGGGGATGTGTACTGGTAGTCCCAGCTATGTGAGAAGCTGTGGTGTGAAGATCCCTTGAACCCTGGATTCCAAGGCAGCAGTGAGCTGTGATCACTCTATTGCACTCCAACCTGGGTGGCAGAATGATGCCCTGTGTCCAAAACAAAAAAGAAGAAGAGGAAAAAACCCACCAAATTAGTGGGCTTGGGTGACCATGTTTTTGAACCCCTGGAATATCCTAAAGGTAATTTCTTTCTATCTGTATTTGGCATTAAATGTCACAGAAAAATGCGATTTGCTTTCAAGCTCCTCATGAAGCCCAAGAAGACAAAAAAGTAGCCATTCCAAAGAAATTTTATTTTATTCTATTTATTTATTTATTTTTGAGATGGAGTCTCACTCTGTTGCCCAAGCTGGAGTGCCATGGTGTGATCTTGGCTAATTGCAAGCTCTGCCTCCCCAGTTCCAACAGTACTCCTGCCTCAGCCTCTCTGGTAGCGGGATTATAGTTGTATATCACCACATTCAGCTAATTTTTGTATTTTTAGTAGAGATGGGATTTCGCCATGTTGGCCAGACTGGTCTCGAACTCCTGACCTCAGGTGATACACCCACCTCAGCCTCCCAAAGCACTAGGATTACAGGCATGAGCCATTGTGCCCAGCCAATTCCAAAGATATTTTAAATTTCCCTGGAAGAAATAAGAGTGAGAATTCCTAGAGTAGCACATTGAGTTTGTTCCTCAAATACTATTTGAATTTACCCTGCAAATATGTGGTGTCAGGTGGGCGTTGTGTAATGGGATTTAAAGGACATCTGTGACCATCTATAGGGAGCTGAGATTTATAAATTTCTTGAGTAGGCATTTTAGACAGGCTCGATGAGGCATTGAGAGCTGATGTTTCCCCAAGTGGAATGAACACATCAGGTGTTACATGACTCAGATTCTGTTTTAAGTTAGACTCAATCCACATTACAGACTTGGAGGGTCAGAATAATAATGTGAATCAGCATGTGTTGTAAGATGCATGACATTTCTGCATCTGTCAGCAATGACAAATGTTCTTTCTCTTTCTCAGACTCAACTAGATAAGTGGATGTTTGCTTCATTCTTATTTTGAACAACTGACTCTATCAAGAAACCACACCATTTATTTATGCCCAGATTAGGCAGTACAGTATCTGACGGAAAGGACTTTGGTAATTCAATTTCATATCTAACACGCCTCACACTGTGACACAGCAGGAGAGCCCAGAGCGGCAGCTGTTGGAATGAATGCCCTCTTCCTGCTGAAGTCTGACATTTCCAAGGTAGGATTTGATTACAACAAGCAATATGGAATTATGGGCAAGGAGAGGTGCCGAGACCACAAGACATTAGGAGGCTAAGATAGCAAGGTGGTGAGGCAATCTGCCTTTTAGTCCCCTTTGAAGCCATGGGAAGTAGCCAAATGATCTGGCTGAGCAATGCCTCCGTGACTTCAGGGTATAAAAACCACTTTCATGAGCTTCAAGTCAGGGTAAGTGGGGAAAGTAACAATAAAAGTGAATAAAAATCAACCACATTTAGACCCAGTCAACTTAGGATATTTTGTAGTATAAGTGTCAATCTGTATGGTTCCTCTGAGATGCCCACATCTCAGGAAGCCTCAAATTTAACTACCAGAAATGTTCTAAGAAAATAAAATAAGAAATTCTAAGCTTATAAATGCTTTTTGCATGTGCTATTTTAGGTAGTTTTCAGAATGAGTCACTTATCTCCTCCCACAACTCAACTTCAATCATGTTTCAGCACATTCTAATTAGTTTCTCATTATCATTTAAATTAGTATTTATTTCTACATGTATTTCTTCCTCCATTTTAAAAAATGTATCATTAAATTTGTTGGTAACTCTTTTTCTTAGAAAATCTAAGTTTCAAGAGTTTCCCGTACTGTTATTATTATTATTATTACTATTGTTATTATTATTGAGACGGAGCCTTGCTCTGTCACCCATGCTGGAGTGCAGTGGTGAAATCTTGGCTCACTGCAACCTCCACATCCCTAGTTCAAGTGATTCTCATGCCTCAGCCTCCCAAATAGCTGAGATTACAGGCATGCACAAACACACTCAGCTAATTTTTCTATTTTTAGTAGAGACACGGTTTGAAACTCCTGGCCTCAAGTGAACTGCCCCACTCAGCCTTCCAAAGTGCTGGGATTATATGTGTGAGCCACTGTCCCCAGCCATTATTTCCCTATATGATGCAGTAATGCTCAGAAAAGGACAAGCAATAATAACAATACATGTGTATAATAATATATGCATGCATATGTATAATATTTTATAACTACAAAGACTTTCACATATATTATCTTATTTAATCCTCAACACACAATAACATCCCTCCTCTGCTTCTTCCCCTGCACAGTGCTAAAGGTTCCCTATGCAATGTCTCTAGAGATGAAAGAGTCAGGAAAGAAGGGCATTAATAAATATACTTGGATGTATTAGGGGACCATGACAGGTAGCTGAACCAACACTACACTAGGCATGAGCAGTCCCAGAAAGAGTGGCTTCTCTGCTGTTTATTTCTACTATCTGGCATTGGGCAAGTTAGAACCTCTTCAGACCTCTGTTTGCTCATATGCAAAATTAACACACACCTGCTCTGACTCCCTGCCAGAGTTACCATGAGAATCAAATTAGGTAACATGTGAGAAAATGTTTTATAGTTTGCCAAATGCCAAATACATATCTTTATGGACTTTCTTTCTGTATTTCACTTTTGCCAACATTTGCGGCATCAACCTAAACAGAAACCTCAGTTAATTAAAGAATAGAAAAGATAAACATTTTTAGAAACGTAAAGAATGTTCTAAGAGTTTCTTGGCCATTTTACTTTTCTTATAATCAAAACATCAAGCTGTTCACCTGGCAGCTGGGTGCTTGAATTATAATCTAGTATCAGTTGTGCTCAAGAGGAAACCAAGATCCTGTAGGATCTTTTACAAATCAGGGCTTTTATTTTTTATTATTCTCAAAGTGAAGTCTGCAGACCACCTGCATCCAAATCCCATGGCATAATTATAAACATTTCTGATTGCTGCACCCTACTTTTACCTACTGAATCAGAAGCTCCCAAAATACGGGCCCAGGAATAAACCTTCTTTTAGAAAACACTCTAGCTGATACTTATGCTCACTAGTCCAAGAAACCCAGAACTTACTGGCTGAAATTTGCAAGTTGTAAGAGAACATTTGTTCTTCATTTCTTTCCAGCAGTAACAAGATTTCTCTATCAACATTCTATTAAAAACAGATAGAAGCACGTATGTGAAATCAAAGCAGCACTCCACTTGTGTGCAAAATTCGACATCATCTTTTGGAAAGTGCTTTGAAGCAGGGCAGCTCTCTTTAATTGGATGCTGCATTTATAGGAGGACTTTGGAAAATATATTCTCCTCCATTATTCTTCCTGACCTCTACCCAAAAACTAACGATCTCACAAGCAGTTACATTGATAACCAAGGAGTCATTCTCCAAGGAGGAGGAGGCCTCAACTCTCTTCAAGTAATAACATTAAAATTCTCAAAGTGTTAGCAGTCTGCACTGTACCTTGAAATAAAAAGGTAGGGATTTTGCCTTTGGAGTTCAATGAATATAGAATAATATAATGTCATTTCAGAAGCCATAAGCTTATTATCAATCAGCTTCGTAGAAACATAGGACTGAAAGGGATTACTCATTACTAAGTCAACAGACAACTGTGTGCCTGGTGCTGATCTAGGGTTAGGGCCAGAGGAGTAAATAAAGCAAACAAAGCTTTCCTGGCACTTACATTCCGGTTGGAGAGGAAGGGTGTACAGAAAATAAAGAGCGGGCTAATGTTTAATATTTGTAACATATCAAATGGCATGTTAGGAGATGGCAAGAATAATGGAAAATGGTTTACAGCAACAGTTTTCAGACGGGGTTAGATTACAATTCTAAATATGAATAATACAGCAAAAAGCAAAAAAAAAAAAAAGGATTTTATTTTTTTTGGCTGGGACGCATGGGTATTAGTTTGTACTCTTGAAAGCTAATGAAATATCCGCAGACCCTACTATACTGAATTTTAAACTCTGGACACTGCAAAACAAGAACACTGTCCACGTCATCACATATGTTAGTAGTCACCTTTACATTAGAGGCACCTTCTATAGTTAGGACTGATCTCTTTTTTCCCTGAGGTATGAGCCTGTCTTCTAATCATTCCTGATACCGTCTTTCACAATTGTGCCCTAGGGAATGGTGCTCAGAAAAAGAAGCCAGTCAGATTTGTTTTCTGTGCCCTTTTAACACTTCTAACTCAGGCACCCAAACCAGCTTGAACCGGAAAAAGTGTCAAAGCCATCCTCTGGACTCTACCCAGGGCCTATGGATATTCGGTTAGCTTGCAAGAGTACAAACTGATACCCGTGAGTACCTGCCAGAAACATCCTTTTTTTCCCCTTTTTGCTGTGTTATTCATATTTAGAATTGTAATATGACCCTGTCAGAAAAATTGTGTTGCAGGAAATTTTTGGAAAAGAACATGTAGCTTATCTGTGCTTATGAAGTCTTTGTTATTTTGGGAAAAAGAAAAGAAAACAAAAACATCAACAGCTATGTATTTTATTACTTACTATCATTCCAGACTAAAGTGGGGAGTCCTGTTTTTTTCCGAAACATAGCAGCAGCAGAGATGTGGCTATTGCGATCAGAATTACTTGGCTAGGTGAGTTTTGGGTTTGATTTACTTTTTCATATTTGTCTTTCTGCATGTATAACATATTTTCCTAGGGAGAAAGATATGCTGAAGTTAAACTTCACGAGTTAACTACCTAAAATTACAGCTGTTAGCAATTTTTAATAAAACGCTATCCACTGCACTATAAAAACGGATTCTATTTTCATAATGTTTGTGTCATTCCACTGAACAGTGCAGTTAGAAATCCCAGAAGCAAATGCAGTACAAATTGGAGAGCAGCTGTGTAGAGGTGACTTCTAATCATAATGGAACACAAACAAGAATAAATAAATCAAGGACGAAACTTCTCAACTTCTGATGCCTGGCGATGTCAGTTTTAAAGCCAGATGAATATCAAGAGAATTGCAAAAGAAATTACACAGCAGCTAGAAGAGTGACAGTCAAACCCCCACCCTTTCTGGGAACACTCCCATGTACCAGAAACACAAGAACTTTATTTTGAAACCTAGATGACATATTTGAAACTGCCGGTGTTCCTGACTTTAGCTTCTTGGCAGAAATGCCAGCTGAGTGTGCACATAGCACAGGTGGACGAATGGCAAACAAGACACCTCACAGCTGCAGGCAAGGAGCTGCTTCTAAGGGCATACAGTCTGGACAGTGCCGAGGAAGACAGGCATGACACGAAGAGGGAGGACAGGCTGGAATTTGGGGGTTTTGTCATCAGCGTGTGCGTTTTAAAATATATCGGTGCATTTCTGAAAGTTGATTGGTGTTGGATTTTCAGCTGAGGCCTCATTCTTAGGAAATAACGTGATGGCAATAAATGTCAGCCTTAGCTAGTGACCCTTAAAAAGCTAAACCAGGATAAAAATAATAACTTGGCAATGGTTCCCATTTGGTGCACTCCTTTTGTGCTCTGCTTTTGTCCTGAGCCTGCTTTGCCAAACACTCCACCTTCAAGCACTGTTTTTAGGGAGAAGAGGCCATTCTTTCTGAAGAGGGAACAGCTGAGAAGAGGACCAACCCACAGAAGGAGCGGGGACACTCCTAGCTGCTTTAAAGCCATACCGCAGGGCCTATGAGTTTGTAACGAGACAAGGTTTTCTTGTTGCTGCCTTACCTCAGTCCAAAAAAAAGAATCACTGTTTTTATCAGCCATTTAGCCCTTAAGAGTGCCTTTAGTGATGAGACAGTGCTTCTGGAAGTTTCATATAAGTGCTTTTCTTTTCCCACAGGCAGAAGACTTGAGAGGTTGCAGGATCAGAACAGTTTGTGTGCTTTTCCATATTATAGCTTATGTATATGACGATCCTGATCTTCCATTAAACAGGGCGTCTTACCCACCCTGCAGTGCTAAGCATGTGTCAGATTGGAAACTAAGTACCATTTAAAAGAAAATGTCTTTCAGTATTTAAAAAAACAAAACGAAACTAAGAAATAGAAAATTACCTCACACCGAGCCGTAGCCCTTTCTCAGATACCCTTTGCTCCTCAGTTTTAGGAGTTATGCAAGTCTCTAGCCTCACTCCTCATTGCCCTGACTTGTGCCTGAGATGTTTTTAGTCCTTCAGCCAGTTCAAATCAGGAATGAGGTGCATTTGAGCTCAACTTCTACTCTGCCAAGCAGATAATCCCCTAATGACTGGTCAGCATTTTCATCCCAGAGAGTCAAACTGGCCTTTCGGTAGCAGAGGTTACTTTAGGTTTGTGCAAAATAACTTTAAAGACAAGTAAATTCCCACTTTGGGGGCGTCACCATCATCCCTTTCATTGCCTGCATTTCCTAGCGTTTCTTTTTCCGGTGTGGACATTGCAAAACTTTGATTCTTCAAAGTGGTTATTTAGTACCTAAAATATTTAGAGTTGGGGCAAAATTTGCATAATTCTATTAAAAGGCTTATACCTCAGCTTTGAAAAATATTTGAGAAAATGTGATTTGTGGGGGAAGGAAGTCTTATCTTTTGGCCCAGAAGGTGTTTCACGGAACTAAACTTGTTAGTGTTAGGATTGCCTGTTAAGCACCAAAAAGTAAAAAATCAAGGTTAGAAGGGTTTCTTTTATCTCCGCTTCAAGTCTGCAGTGGTTTGAAGCTTAAGATAGAGAAGGACTTTAGGGTTTTTTTTTTTTTCACTGTATTGCAAACTTGGAACCTGGAGTCATGGCACAGTGAAGGGAAACACAGGTGCATTTCTGTAGCTTTTTAAAATAAGATGCACTGGCTCTTTTCAACGGAGGACAGTTCATTTTGATGTTGTTACAGACCTTGAGACGATCTGCTGTAGATCAAATGTGAGATTCTGTCATCATGCCTATTTTTGTTATATGATGCTGCTCTCACTCATAGGTTGACAACCAGTCTGACATACATTTTCTTCCTTCCTTTCTTTTTTTTCTTTCTCTCTCTCTCTTTCTTTCTTCCTTCCTTCTTTCTTTCTTTCTTTCTTTCTTTCTTTCTTTCTTTCTTTCTTTCTTTCTTTCTTTCTTTCTTTCTTTCCTTTTTTCCTCCCTCCATCCTTTCCTTCCTTCCTTCTTTTTCTCTCCTTTCTTTCTTTCACGGGGTCTCACTCTGTCACCCAAGTTGGAATAAAGTGATGTGATCATGGTTCACTGCAGCCTCAAACTCCTGGGCACAAGCAATCCTCCTGCCTCAGCCTTCTGAGTAGTTGGGACTATAGGTGCATGCCACCACACCTGGCTAATTAAAAAAATTTTTTAGAGACAGGACCTCCCTATGTTACCCAGGTTGGTCTCAAACTCCAGGTCTCAAGGGAGGCTCCCACGTTGGCCCCTTGCAAAGTGCTGGGATTACAAGTGGAAACCACTGAGCCTGGCCTTGGCATACATTTTCTATATTCAATACCTTTTCTATACTCTCAGTACATTTTCTATACTCAATACATTTTCTATACTCAAGTGTGTGAGGAACCAAATGCCTTCAACAACGTAAATGTTACAAAACTGATTGCCATTGAAATGCCTCCTGAAGGAAGCATAGGTCTCCCTTAAACCACCTGCTGCTCCGAGAGCTGAGGACTGTGTGTCCAGATGACGGCATGCTGTCAGGAAGGTGTGTGAAGACCACTATTTCTACCCTGCTAGAGTGCACAGAGCCACCATTCCAGAGCTGCCCAGAGCCTTAAGCCCATCCACCTCTATCAGGACCTTTGTCTCATCCAGAACTTTCTGAAGTCTCATCCAGGACCTGCCCTGATGCATGTCTTCACTTTTATTCCCTATTCACCGGAATTGTTGCCAAGACCAGAATAAGACTTTTAGAGTCCCTGAGCTCCTCCATACATAAATACAAATACCATTTAATTTTTAAACTAACATGAAGTTCATAAGTGTGCTGATAGCAGAATGGCTTTTTTTTCTAGATGATTTATTGATTATAAAAGTCTGGATGAATTGGCTAAAGTGAAGATTTTCTGACATATGCTTATTTATTTATCTGTGCCTCCAGGATAATCTAGCAATGACTGTAGACAGCATCTAGTGACCATTTCACCCCGACAATATTTTCTGCCCACTGGCATAGCAAGATGTGATTTTACTGGGCCCTAGCTGTATTTCATAGTTAATGTAAAGCCTTCTCCACATGGTCATGTAATTCTTCTTATCCAACTGGTTTTATATTGCAGTTTCTTTTACCGACAAATAACCTTCCTTACCATGTTTTTTACCCATCTTGCCACCTGATTCAAATACATTAAGTCAGGCTTTGTTCGGAGAAATAAGATTTAGGAAAACTTTTCAAAAAGTTTTTTAAAACATTTTTAAAAACGAATGTATGTTTATCTAGGAATTGCTCTGGGAAAATATATATGCCTGTCTCTCCATGCATAACTGTATATCTAGTGCAGTGATATACATGTGTATTACAAGTGAAATTCATATGTTGAAGATTATTTGGACAGAAGTGGACTTGATTAACTAGAGTTGCCTTTTTTGGATTTATGCCTCAGGATTGTGTTCTTATTATGTAATACACAGGCAAAGTTATGTTACTGTACCTCGATGCAGGGCAAAAATTTATAATGTTCTGCCAAAATTGCCACCTGAGGACACAGAGAACAAAGAAACAAAAAGTCCTAATCAGATTAGAGCTTAATGAACCAGTCTCAAGCCTGCTGGGAACTCACCAAATACCATGTCATTCCAATGAATAAACAGTGGAACAAAAACTTGGAGAACAAAACATTTTCTTAATTATTTGCATTCTTTTGGCAGCTGTAATTACAGGATATTTTCCATTGTCTGTTACCGCTTGCCCCTGTGCCGTTATGTTTTTAAGATGTGGTTTGTTCTCTTTTGCCATATAATTATGATGATCACTAAAATGAGCAAAATTATCTTCCGAAATATATACAGGATAGTAGATATATGTTTTCACTTAACTAGAACTTGTAGATGAGTGGCAGTTTCAGTTTAGTTTTTGTGGAATTTAGTACAGTCATTCATTTGAAGCATACCAAACACACAAGATATCATAGTATAATACATTATATACTTAGAATTAAAAAAATCAGTAATTTTTGTAGTTAACATAGTGATATATTTGGCCATTCTTCCAAGATATGAATTTTTAAGATAACATTTCTTTCCTGATGACTACAAAGCAATACATGCTTATTTTAGGAGAGTGGGAAAAGCCTGCAATCTAGAGATAGCCACCATTAATTAGGTACATGAGCCCTACCTCTAGCTTTTTCATTTAAAAAATTTCATATTATAATTGTTTTTAAATTTTAAAAACATATGCATACGTTGTAAGCAAGTTTTCTTCTCAGTTACTATTCTTCTGTATCATATATATATTTATTTATTTATCTATTTATTTTGGAGACAGGATCACACTCTGTTGCCCAGGCTGAAATGAAATGGTGAGATCATGGCTTACTACAGCCTCAACCTCCCAGGCTCAAAAGATCCTGCCACCTCAGCCACCTCAGTAGCTAAGACTAAAAGCATGCATCACCATGCCCAGCTAACTTTTTTCATTTTTTGCAAAGTTGGAGTTTCCC